CTTGGAGTATAAGGCAGTTGTGGAGAAGCAGTTATGAAAAAGTATCAAGTCATTACAATCGTATCGTGGTGGCGAATATCTCTCGAATGAATTTAGGAGCTACTTGACGGATAATGGGATTACATCCCAACTGACTGCACCTGGCATGCCTCAGCAGAATGGCGTAGCAGAACGGAGGAATAGGACTCTTATGGAAATGGTTAGGGCAATGATGAGTTATAGTAGTTTACCGGATTCGTTTTGAGAATATGCCCTAGAAACAGCAGTATACATTCTGAATCGAGTACCTTCTAAATCAGTACCGTCTGCACCATTGGAGTTGTGGTCTGGGCATAAGCCTAGTCTAAGACATCTCAGAATTTGGGGTAGCCCAGCACATGTGCTAAGAACCGATACTGATAAGTTGGAACCGAGACCAGAAGTAAGGCTATTTGTGGAATATTCTAAGGAAACGAAAGGTGGTCTATTTTAGAGTCCCGAGGACCAGAAAGTAATTGTTAGCACGAATGCTAGGTTCTTGGAAGAAGACTATGTCTTAGATCACAAGCCCAGTAGTAGACATGTTCTTGAGGAGTTAAAGGGAGTGAGTACTTCAATACCGAGTGCGCTAGATGTTACACCACAAAGTACTGCAACATGTATTACTGACGTCGCACCTGAGCAGATAGTACCTCGTCGTAGTGGGAGGGTTGTCCGGCAGCCCAAACGGTTCATGGGTCTGGGAGAGTCTTCTGAGGCCGTCCCAGACGTTCTTGAATCCGACTCATGGACATACAATGAGGCACTCCAAGATCGGGACACAGATTCTTGGCAAAAGGCGATGAAATCTAAAATAGAGTCAATGGACACTAATCAGGTCTGGGATCTTGTAGAGCCACCCAGTGGCGTTCGCGCCATTGAATGCAAGTGGGTCTATAAGAGAAAGAGAGGATCAGATGGGAAGGTTGAGACCTTCAAAGCTAGGCTTGTTGCGAAAGGGTACCCTCAGAAAGAAGGGATCGATTATGAAGAAACCTTTTCGCCGGTAGCCATGCTCAAATCCATTAGGATTCTCTTGGTTGTGGCCGCTCATATGGATTATGAGATTTGGCAAATAGAGTTAAGATCGCTTTCCTTAACGGGAACTTGGACGAGGACATCTATATGCAGCAACCAGAAGGATTCATTGCAAAGGGCCAAGAGCATCTGGTCTGCAAGCTGCAGAGGTCCATTTATGGGCTAAAGCAGGCTTCGAGGTCTTGGAACATCCGTTTTGACGAGGTTGTCCAATCGTATGGATTTACCCAATGTTCGTATGAGCACTGTGTGTACAAGAAAAGTGATAGAAACGTGGTGGTGTTTTTAGTGCTGTACGTAGATGATATTCTTCTCATCGAAAACAATGTGAAGATATTGTCAGACGTAAAGGTATGGTTATCCAAGCAGTTTGATATGAAGGATTTGGGTGAAGTAGGACATGTTCTCGGAATCAAGGTCATTCGCGACCGAGAGAAGAGAAAGTTGTGCCTATCCCAATCCACATACATAGACACTGTCCTAAAGCGTTTCAACATGCAGTATTCCAAGAAAGGGGATTTGCCCTTTCGACATGGAATACCTCTATCTAAGAGGATGTCCCCGAAGACGCCTCAAGAGATAGAGGACATGAAGGCAGTTCCTTATGCATCGGCAGTAGGAAGCCTCATGTATGCTATGTTGTGCACGCGACCTGATATTTGTTATGCCGTGGGCATAGTAGCAAGATATCAGAGTAATCCAGGACCGGAACATTGGTCTGCGGTAAAGCTTATACTCAAGTACCTTCGAAGGACTAAGGAGTACATGTTGGTTTACCAGGCAGATGAGTTGCTTCCGTTGGGTTACACCGATTCTGACTTCCAGGCAGACCGGGATGAAAGCAAGTCAACCTCAGGGTTTGTGTTTACTTTAGGAGGAGGAGCTATAGTATGGAGGAGTGTCAAGCCGAAATGCGTGGCGGACTCAAGCATGGAGGCTGAGTATGTAGCAGCCTCAGAGGCGGCGAAAGAAGTTGTCTGGCTCAGGAATTTTCTCCTCGACCTTGACGTGGTGCCGAGTTTGCCTGCTGCAATTACAGTGTTCTGTGATAACAGCGGAGCAGTAGCAAATTCGAAGGAACCACGAACTCATAAAGAGAGTAAACACATAGAGCACAAGTACCACCTGATACGAGAAATCGTTGGACGAGGAGAAGTCGTTGTTGCCAAGATACAATCAGAGGACAACCTAGCAGATCCTTTTACGAAGAGCCTACCGGCGAAAGTCTTTACGAGACACGTAGAAGGAATGGGAGTCAGATGTTAGGGCAACATAGGAGACTAGTCTTTGAGAATTAGATTGAAAGAAATTGTGGTTATTTTTGTTTAGCCATGAGCTTATAAAGCATAAGTGTGAGATTGTTAGAGGTATGCTGTAAAAGCGATGTTTTGCAGTTTCTATCAATTCCATTTTGATCTGGCAATCATGTTTCGGTCAAAGTACATATGTTTGCAGTTTATTTATTTATGCAATACATACTCTATGTCTTATATTGAGATAGTGTGGTTCGAAGAGTTTCGAACAAAAAGATCACCTATCGGTTCCTTATAAGACTAAACTATTCGTTCACAGTCTAGACTGGCAGTGAGACCCCACATGGAAAAAGACTGTAGTGTATTCCCGATTCAGTTGGTCTTTGACTGAAGGATTACACTGGCACTTATGTTAAGTGTTGAACAGGACCGCGGAAGACAAAGGTTATGAGACTCACTGACCGTTGTTTTAACCTCACCCTTCAGTGATTGATGCGTTCTCTTAAGATGTAATATAATATAAAATAGGCATATATTTTTATCTCTTATTTATTTGATTTACCAAGTGATTCCTATTCTGTAAGGATGACATACGAGGTATTTTGGTAAGTAAGAATGATTATATGATGTGCTATTTTAGATTATTTACAGTCACTATGTTCCAGTGCACTGGATTGATGACGTCCCCGAAATGAGCTCAGAAAGGAACCTTATGTTAAACCCTGCAGGTAGGCGATTGTCTGACATAATGGTTAAAGGTTAAGTGGTACTAATTTCGGAAATCAATAAGAAGTTGATTAATTATTTTGTCAGTAATTTAATTAATCAACGGACGTTATATCTTAAACATAGGGAGGTAAATCGATTAACCAGATTAATATTATTTAATCATGGAGGCTCGATTTTATTGGTAAAATAGTGGCTAAATGGGAGAGAAATAATATTACTCTAGTAGGATGTTTTATTATTTAATTCCATTAAATAGGAATTAATTTTATTCCATATTAATTAATTAATTAGGAGAATACAATTCCTACTAGAATCTTCTCTTGGGATTAGGAGACTTGGGAGTCTTTTAGAAGATGAAGATTAGTGGAAAATATATTTCCTGCATTATATAATTAATTGGAGTAAAATTAGGTTTCTTAAATTAAGAATTAATTTTATTCCATAGTTATTAATTTAATTAGGAAAGATTTTCCTACAAGGATCTTCTCTATTGTTAGGAGACTTACGAGTCTTCTAAAAGATGAGGATTAGTAGGAGGTTTCCTTCCTACATTAAATTAGTATTGGAGTAGAATTAGGTTTCCTAGGCCTAATGGGATAAGCCCATATTT